CAAGCGCATGAGACAAGAAAGTCAAGCACATACCTCAAGCGTTTTGCATGAGTAAGAAATTCATGTGCATGGAGACACATCTTGAGGTATGTGCTTGCCCATGTGCTTGAGAAAAAAAGCTTCACTAGGGAGAGTTCAGAATGAATTGGCTTTTCTCGGTTCGGGTTCAATTTGACTCGACTCGAAATTTTCTGAACTCGCCCGATTCGATTCAGCTGCAATTTTAAAAAAGCACTGGTGTGAGTCACTGAGATGTATTTATCTTTTCGTTTTGTTCATGCGTCTGAATGCTATTCTTTCAAAACATGTTTTACTGTATATTATGGTTTTTTCAATCATTTCTTTGTTGTTTTGAACAATTTATGGAGATTCGAATTAGCATAGTTCTTTTTAATTCAAAGAAGTTAAAAATCGAACAAAATAAAAAACCACAAAATAAAAATAAACTTAGTTATGCGGCAGTTCTTCCGCCTCCTCTTCTTCGTCTCTGTTATCTGGCCTGAACATATTTGGCCACCTGAATCTATTTTGCCAGATTAGCTGAAGGAGCCAAAACGATAATAAATAAACCACTACCACCAGAATGATACTGCTCCCTTCGTTAACGATGGCGACAAAAGATTCTAAAAAGAAAGAATTCCATGTCTAAGCTATAAGAGGAAACAGGTCAGCCTGCGTACTGAAAACCTTGTGAATAGTCCGGTAAATGATTGCCAGGACCAAAAACGTCACCGCTGATCCCGCTACCGCTTAACGGCTGATGTTGTTGACTACCGGATGGGCTTGAATCACCATCCGGTTTACGGAATCCAGTAACCATTCGTTCCATTATGACAATTTTTCAATGATTCACTATTTCCATTGTGTCAATATAATGTAAAATTGTTTTGACGCTTAATTCTGTCTGCTGACGACGATTCAGCACCTAAAATCAAAGGAGTCAATATATATTCTGTCAATCTAAGAGTACCCTCATTTTCACAGCATGGGAAGGGTATGCGAGAATGAGCTCAAATTTTCTCTATAGAATGAGAACGAAAAGATAGGATACTACGTATTTTTTCGATTTTGAAAACCATCGCTCGCGGGATTGCTTTTCTAGCAAACTTGGTTTTTAACCTGCTCAAATCGTTTCCTTAACTTTATCATTTCTACGAGAGAAAAGAGAGCGAAATGTGATATTTCAACGGATGAAGATAATTATTACTTTGACAATGGACTGATTGTTATTGTTTTTTTCGTTGTTTGAGACGTCGATGGTGACGGTGCGCTGATCCCGCTACCGCTTAACGGCTGATGTTGTTGACTACCGGATGGGCGGGAATCACCATCCGGTTTACGTGTTTGAATGTTGATCGTAACATCGTATCTACAAAATGGCGAAAACTCCAGCGCTTTTCAATTTAGAGTTATTCAAAAAACATCCGCAGCCCCTTGATGCTTTTCTCATAACATAACAGAAAAATTGAACTTAGGATCACTCTATCATCACGGTCCTCTTACACCTCCTCATGAGTACACGAGAACAGGGTAACGTATTAGTTTAAGAAGATTCGTCAGCTCTCTTGCACAAAAATATCTGCATCACACATAAGCGTGGTAATTCGTGGATTGTATCGTTCCGTCTTTTCCTATTGCTTGATACAAAGCGTATTTTCAATTTAGTTCGCGTGCCGTACGCTTTCAAACAAAGACGTACGCGTAATGTTAGAAACACTGATATCACAAAAAGTCTTTCATAACTTTACTTTTGATCGCTGAATCCAAAAATATTAAAAAAGATATATGTTTATTTCGATCGTACCACTAGATTTCTCGACCGGCTCGTAAAGCCTCTCTTAAACACGCTATTGAAACGATATATATTTTGCAGTCTGCTTGGTGAAAGAAAGAGAGCGAAAAAAAACTAATTCTCAGTGTTTAACAAGTTCGCCATGTCAGAATATAGAGTAATGTCTCTTAGTTCCGAGCAAAATCAATTTGGTGACGCGCTTTTTTGGGCAGAGGTGGGCGAGTATGACTACGAGTGTCTCGAAATTTGTACTTCTCGAGTACGAGTAACATTTCTGTTTTTGAGTGTGTCTCTCAACCGTTTGATATAGGATAATCCTGATTTTTAGTAGATATAGAGAACAAGTCGCGAGCTACCCAATCATATCAACATTTTCTTGAAATTCATTAACCTTAAGTAGTTCTGATGAAATTAATGAGAATCTCCCATTAACTGATCGAAATGATGATACTTGTCATAATTCCGATCACTCTAGCCCAAAATACTAGTGTTTTGCCGATAGGCTCTATGTTGTTCTTTATAGATTGATGCTTAATTATTTTTCACGATTTTATTTGGATGAAGAATGCCTACAAGAAACGACGGAGAATAAATATGTCCATGGTATAGTGTGTGTCAAATATTGGGTTGTCTGCTTTTAGCGTAAAATAAGTTGCCGAAAATAAGAGTTCAGAGAGTACACGTTGAATCTTGGTTTCCGATTGGTGAATACCGAACAAAAGGGAAAGAAGTGAAAACAATGTCGCAGAAGTATGTTTCTTGCTCAGAGATCTAAGAAAAATGTGAGAGCAACTGATCGAATTTTATACGGTTAGATTCAGATTTTCATCTAGATTATGACTATAAACTTTATTTTGAATAACAAGGCTATGGTATACCTTCGATATATAAAACATTCCGAGTCTGAGCGATGTGTGGAAGAAATGTTCTTTTAAAGCCTTAAGATAGGTGAAAATCATGATATCTGTCGAGTATTTCGACAATTGTCCTATATGGGCTTATTTTTGACAAGCTTATTCAGATTTTGCGTTTTCTGTCTTTTAGTTCCATGATGCTCATGATATTTTCGGAAATGAGGAATATAATGTCTGTTTGGGATTGTTCTAAATCTATGATGAATTGCCTTCCAAGAACGACCATGTTTACTTCCAGGTCCCGGATGATCAACGGAATCAATTACTTGACGCATAAAATCCTCTGAAAAACTTTTTAAATCGTATTTTTCTAACACTAATTCTTTGTTCGTCCAGTTCTCGTCCACTTCTTTCTCTTCATGCTGTTCTTCATCCTCACTATCTTCTTCGTCTGTAAATCCAGCAAAATCTATAGTTGTTTCTTCGTCATAATCAACCTTCTGTCCGCTGACCATAAGTTTTACTGTATCGGCAAGATATTCAGCCATTTGCCGCTCCTGTGACGTAACTGGAGACGGTTCTTTATTGGATAACTCACGAGAAACTAAATCACTCAAAGTTGAGACGATATTCTGTGCGTTCGTTTTATTTTCAGGTGAAATTGTAAGAGATCGTTTAACTGAACGGATACTTCTTGCATTTCAGTACCGCATTTCGCGTTGACTGTTTTATATTCAACTCACACTTCGATGTGAGAATAAAGTTTACAAATAGTTTTAGAAACTATTCTTCTCAAGCGTATTATGCTATCGGTTCAATGTACTGAATCATTCATCTTTCATTCCTCGAATATTATCTTTTAACTGCATTTCGGACATCGCTTTCTTTTCTATCACAATCTATCGACGCTGATTGTGTCATGTATGCCACAAACAAGTACTGAATGCGTTTGATGAGTTAAAAAACAGAACGAAAAGAAAAAAAACACGAATTTTCTGTACGGAAATGTGTACGGAGAAAACCGGTTTTTCGCTGTCTTTTTTAGTTCTCGGCCTAAAAAACTCGCTCAAAATCTCACAAAGAGCATTGAAAAGATGTTTTTTGTTGGTTTTGCGATCTGCTCTTTCATATGGACAGATTAAAAAGAATTTTTGGTACAAATGATTTTTCGGCCTAAAAACCAAGATCTTTGAAAAACGAGGCCTTAAGGTGAAAGCGGGCAAAAACCATTATGATATTCGGAATCAGCATGTTCGATTACCCCTTGTCAACTAAGTTTCAGCTCAAAAGCGAGGGATCAGTCGGTGGCCTTCCCTCATTAGTTGTATCGTCTACCGTCTCTCCCTCATCACAGTCCACTCAACCAGCTTAAATGAACTGCAAAAGATCGCAAATGCATTTGTATGGCGCGGAAAACACCCCGCAATTAGTTTTAAAACTATAATTGGAAAAAAGGCAGATGGAGGATTTGCCTTATTAGATATTAAAACAATGGTAGAAGGATTTAGAATTAAATGTGGTCTACGCTTAATGTCTAATACTCCAGCAAAGT